ATAAACAGAAAATCCAAACTTTGCCTGACGAATAAACTTCTAATATTTAAACAAGCCATGCTTTACGCTGTGCCAATATGGTCTAGTTGCTGCACTACCAGGAAAAAAGCACTTCAAAGGATTCAGAACAAAGTTCTGAAGATGATTTTGAAGTTGCCTCCCTGGTACAGTACTACCGAAGTACATAGAATTTCGAATGTTGAGACTTTAGCACAAATGTCCAACAAAATAATTAATAATTTCCGGCAAAAATCGTTACAATCCTCAATTGCAACGATTAATTCCCTTTATACTTAGATAAGATTTAGTTTTAGTGTTTAGTTTTAAGATATCAATTGTTATACTGACAGGCAGGTTTAAAAAAAACCTGTTTAAAATACTGAATTGCCAAGACAGGAACAATGTAAAAACACTTAGATACATATCATAACAATTAAGGCTGGTAAGTTACTGTAGTAACTGGAGCACCTAGGTTAAAAATGAAATGTAATTTATTTTGAATTTGGAACAAATAAAGAGTTAAAAAAAAAAGCATTTTCCAGTGCAGCACTGAAAAAATCCACAGCATCATTAAAGCTAGCGGCTGTTTCGATAAATTGCCAATCAATTCCCGCAAGGGCATTGTTCAATACAACATAATCAGCTCGGCGAAATTCCAAAGAGTAGCACTCAGATGACGGCGTAAAAACAATCAGTGAAGGCAAACTAATGACACGACGAGAGCGGGATGATCGGCATCTAGATCAATCAGTTGCTCGACCGGCAAGGAAACAGAAGTACCCGGTAATGCGGAATCATTTGCCAGGACAAGATCTAGCAAACGTCAATTTCGGTTCGGACAAGTATTCGCTTGTGTGTACCCGTAAAACTTAAAACCGTCCAAAAGAGCACAGCAAGCAACCGACATATGTGAACGCAGTGGATCGATTAATGGTGTGCCACTGTCTGTAAAGTGCCAATGCAACCCAGCTTGATTGTAGTCGCCAAATACGAAAGCGGGAGAGCAGGGACTTAATTGTGAAGAAATCGAGCTTAACAATTCCACATGCTCACGGATGATTGTGCAGTCGGAAATGGATGACGTACTTACGTAGCTGGCTAGTCTCGTTGATACTGCAATCAGGACTCCACCACCGCGCGATTTTTGACTGTTTAGGGGAGACCGGTCAGTTCTGAAGACGGAATAGAGTAACCCGAAAAGTTGCGATGAGTAAATTCGGTCGTCCAGCCACGTTTCTGTCACCACAATCAAATCATATTTGGCCTCCCCAACAGCCAGGAAAAACGAGTCGATTTTAGTCCTCAGCCCACAAACGTTTTGGTAGTAGATCCTGAGACCATTCGAGGATCAATCACGGGAGCTGGAAATCGAAAGGACATCAGTTACTGAAAGCTCGGAATCGCAATCATACTCGCCTGATGTTGCAGGCCGGAAGTCCCCGATACCATCACCGACCACAGGACCGGGATGATGAAGATGGCGGATGTTAACAGCAAGCATGACTGGGTTGGGAGGTTCGGAAGCTTCCTCAGTGCCTGTTTTAGGGTGTCCCAGATCCGAGGAAGAGCAGGTGGCGGCATAAACCTGTTGGCAGTTGGCAAGACGGATGCATAGACATGTTGTGGCTAATGCGGAGGCCGCAGAACCGGAAACACAGCTAGAAGTTGATGAGGCTGAATCGTCAGTATACTTGCCAGTAATAGCTGGTTGGAAGACCCCAGACCTACATTTACACGCAGGGCCGGGACGACTATGCTGAGCGCTGGCTGGAATAAGCGCGGCTGAGGCAGAGAAATCGGGGGCTTCCACAGTGCTATCCACGATGAGTCTTGATGCTGATGGTGGTGGTCTAGAAGCAGTAGAGGTAGCAGCATTATTCTTGGAGATCGTGGAAACATCGTGAATAGCGGGTTTGAAGACCCCATCTCCAATCCCACACACAGGGCCAGGACGACTGGTGAACGAAGTCGGGAAAAGCTCGACTGGGGTTGGGGGATTAAGGGCTTCCATGGAGTTATCATCGTTGCGTCCCAGAGTTATGCTGGTAAGTGAAGAATCATGGTTGATCGTTGTAGCGCTGAAACCGGTCATAAGAAGATCGGACTTGCCTGCTGTGTACGGTCGGAAGACCACGTCTCCTAGCACACACAGAGGGTCGGGACGACTGATGAACGACGGCTGCAGAGGCACGACTGTTGTGAGAGGATCGGTGGCTTCCAAGATGATGACATCACTGCGTCCCAGAGTAGATGAATGTTGTATAGACTGCCCAATTATTCGAGTTACGTTATCGTTGCTGGAAGCGTAAAGTGGCTCAGAGGATGGAGGTTTAGGTATATTATGATACTTGCCTGTGGGTACAGGCTAGAAGACCTCGTCGCCATTACCGATAGCTGGACCAGGACGACTTCGGTTGATTGGATCTTCTAGCGGCTCGACTGCTTCGGGTGGGTCAGAGGCTTCCAAAGCGCTGTGTTGTTGCGTCCCAGGTCCTCTCATCAGTGCGTCAGTCCTCGAAAGGGAAGTATCCTGATACTGCTGTCAGTCGGACCCATTCGAGCGATTTTGGTGACTTTCTTCGACCGGGAATCATCGAACTCACGGAATTGAATACCCTCTGGCCACGAATCGCAGGAAAGGGCAACATCCCGTTTATTTTGATTAACGCCGACTTTGAAGGAAACGTAGTTCAACGTGGATGGAACTATTCCTCTGGGAACCAATTTTGTAACCCGTGGTTTCTTGTGTTTCTTCAGACCCAGACACTCAGAGACAAGAGATAAAATTCCGTCATTCGTAGTACTGGGATGGAATGCAGATAAGTACACACCAGATCTTCATTCAAGTCAACGGTTCTGATAGAGTCGATTGGAGCTTTTTTTCCCACTTAGTATGGGTTTGTTATCAGAGATAGACGAAGTAAGGCGACGTTTTAGGGTGCCACGAACAGGATCAAAGCGATCATTTCTGGGCCAACGTAGAGCTTGTCGGAATCATTTAATCGACTTTTGCTGCTAGAGCATTAAAAGCTGAATTCAGTTTTTCAATATCCTCCCTCATCGAATCCACCGCATTCGGCGTCACAGAAGTTTGATTGACGTCACGGCTCACGATATCGTGGAAGTGGCCGTTTGAAAAAGCGCCGCACATTGATTGCACATCCAGAACACGTTATTTTCGTACAACCCAGGTTGATCGAGAAGTTCGACATTAACTTTGGCACAGATCACGTGGAATGTGTCAGCACAAAATCCACGACAAACGATGCGTTCAGAGTCCAAAACGGTTTTTTTTGGCACTTTTTGCAAGCCATAATTGGAAAAAATAGTGAAGCTAATTAGTTTTCTCACTACACGGAAGTTCACCCAGTAGATTCCAGTGTCCATTTTCCGGTCAGAAATTTGTTCAAATAAGTCTTCTAGAAGTTTTTTCTAGGACCAATTTTATTAATTTACCTGTTTTACGGCCGTGGGAAACAGTGTTGGCAAAATCATCAATGAAATAATATTTTTCCACTCTCAAACGCTCTCAATATCAAGCGTGATATTGGAACAAAATATCATGCTTGATATTGATTTTACAAGCTCCTTTGATATTGCGAGACTATTCACAACGTGCAACAATCAAGCTGAGAGCTGACTCGACGCAAAAATGATTTTGTTTCACATCGTTTTCTTAGAAAGAGAATGTATAGTTTGCTATCTCTTTTTATTCTTCACGGATGGCAGACACGAATGAACTGCTGCCAGCTACTATGGAAGCTTCGGTTGTGTTAGGGTGTAAAGCAAAAATCATTAAACTTAATCTCACCACCGTTTGGTGAGATTTGCAGCTGGTGCGTTTTGTTAGCTTGATATTCCAAGCTGCGATATCACAGTTTGCAAACCAGCCACAGTTGTTTGCTTGTTGATTTTCGTCTACGAAAATGACATCTAATTGCTTCCACACACATGACACTATATTCGCTATATTCATAGTCTAGCGGTACCAATCGAGCAAATCACGACCAACAACAGAAAAGAGAGCACATCAGCTATTGCGATCAAAACTTCGGAAACCGTTTTCTTGTGACTCAAGACTCACCTTCGCAAACTAACACCATCTTTAGATTTGGGGAAAGTTTCCTATCTGGTAATTTGCGTTCGATTGGCGAGGAAAGAATAATCAATGTTTTGTTTATAAAAGTTGATAGTACCTTTTCAATTGTTCCGCTTTTTGATAGATCAAAATTCTATCCGCTAGGCTATGAATATAGCGACTATAATGACACAAGGTAGTAAAGTTGTTCAGATGGATATGACAGGATGATGGAAAGCTCAGTTTAAAATTTGCTCTCCAGGAGGTGCTAGTGGATCGATTGCTTAACCTGATTAGAAATAAGGTTCCTATCTTTGGAAAAGTTCATCAGATGGGTATGAAATATTGAGTAGTGAACAGCGAGCGGTCAGAATTATCGCATCAGAAAGCGCTAGTGTTTCGTTTGATTTAAAATTGCTTGAACACTTGGTTAGATAGAAGAAGGCGGTTGTCGGCAACGCTATTGAGGTAAATAAGAACTATTGGAAGGTTTGACGAGAAACGATTTTGAGGATCAGTCAAAATATTAATCTCAAAACATTCTACTTATGTACGAATTTTATATAACCGTCAAAAATTGCACATTTCATCCATCCCACACATTTATAGTTTCAGAGCTAGAAATAATCGTTTACTACGAAAAACGTGGCGAATTAATTTTCTAAAGCTACTTAACGAAATTTCTTCATAGTTCGATATGAACAACCTGTCGGGATAGTAAAATCGAATTTCCCCCCATTTTACGAAGCATATATATGCTATATAGCGGAGTACTTTTTGACGAACACATTTCCACGCGCTTCACAGTTTCTATTTCACGATGCAATTACCAATCTATTAATCAAATTAGTTGGCTTCGATTGGCTCACGCTTTCCGAAAAATCAATTCGAACTACAATGCCGTCAACTTTTCTTCTTTTAGGTGGTGCTCGTCAATCAATCCCGGGTGGTAAGCCCCGTCTCGTGCGTCAATCGGCCGTCCAGGACGATTCGCAGGAGCTTTCCTGTTCGCCACCGCGACTGGGTGTACGTTTCCTGCCTACAATTCCATCGGCAGCAGACAGTAGCATACAACTGGACGATGACACAGCCGAAGCACATTCGAGTCCCTCGTCAAGTCACAGTGAACCTGCCATCTGCGGTGAGGATATCGAAGCGGCTGGTGCCAGTGGAAGTGACCAACAGCAGCAGCAACAGCCCTCACCGGCTCCTTTCTATGCCATCCTACACGGGGGCAATCCTCAGGCAACCGTATCTAGTCTCAAAGATAAAACCAAGCCGCCGTGAGCGGCTAGAGATCCGCTCTAGGGTTAAGGATATGCTACAAGTATTAATCTCCGCATTCTCTGTCTCCCTCTCGTTCATTTGTTTCGATTTCTCAAGTGCTGAGTCAACGACGTTTAATTAGTCAAAAATATCCCATTAATTTGATTTCCATGAAGGTGAGCACCATCACGAGAGCTCAAAATGACACTTTTTTGAACACTGACATCTCAGCAGAATGTTTTATCATACGAACGGCATAAATTTTACATACTATTAGCGATAAGGAAAATCCGAACCAGTGTGATACTTAAATGAATACTTTTTTTTATCGATAGACTATTGGAATAATTTATTGTAAAATGTTTAGGATAGCAAATGTCATGACATTGGGGCATTCAATGCGAAGAAAGCGCAGAAATTTCGGTAGCAAAGGCAATTATCTGTTATTCTGCGAGCGGTAAATCTAGTCAAATTTATCACGAAATCCAGTATGGCTGCATGCAAGCTTTCTTGTACGCTACCACTTGCACACAATTTCCTACTCAGGAAAAAATAAAGCTCTCCTCTCCTAGAACGGGAGGCTTATCCTGAACCGAGACTGCCTCAGGATAGCACACATTGCCTTTGCCGCTGACTTTTCACCAAAAGCTACATTTCTCCAGCAATTTAACGTGAAAAAAACTGAACGATAAAAGCTCAAATTCAGTTCAAAGCAACAGAAATAAAACGGAAAACTCGTGAGAAAATCACCGTCCACAGACAATAACTCATTGCATCCTGATGATGAAAAACAGTTGAATGCTTTCTCGTTTTCGCCAGAAATAAAACATGTTTAAACAATAGCGTAAAACCTACAACAACAACTACAAATGTGGAAGCAACCTGAAAATGTATATTGTATTTACATGTAAGTCTGAAGTAGAATTTGAAAGCTGCCAAAAAAAATCTCAAGACATGCGGAAACTTTTCAAAGCAAAAACTGTATCTTAAATCAACACTGCCATTCGAATCAAAATTAGCATTTTTCTATTAGGTAAGATGAATAGATTTATAAACTTGAACATGGTTAGGAATAAAATATGTTCGTGATACCAAATGTGGAAGGAAATTATTTTACTGTGAGAATCCAGAGTGCATGAGAAGAAAGTAAGAAAATTGTACTGCAGTATTAAAAAAAAATTGAAATTAAGATAACAGAATGGTTATTGGAATAGAACGATCAACGATGGTCGATTGTACATAAATAAAACATGACAGAGATTGAAAATTTAACAAAACAGAAATCAAAAACAGACAGTGTATCCTACGGTGTGAAACAACTTCTAACACAATTTATACTCGTTGCATGTTTTTGTTGTCCGACGGGAAGGGAAGCCAACCAGCAAACCAGATAGGGCCGAAAAGATAGCGCATGTGAGAACGAGAACCAAACAAACAACACATTGTTTCGGAAAGTTGAAGTGCAAGGTGACGCATGAAGATGAGAAGATAATAGATATTATATATTTATTCCAAAAAATACTAACTTTACAGGTCTACCGTAACTTTAAAAAAGTTATTGGAACAAATTTACATACAAGTGAATAAAGAACCATAACAATATTGAAACATTGTCAATGTTGCAATCGATTAGTTTTGGTTTTACGTGATGACATTGCGCTTTCTATAATGTTCATAATTTTCATGGTTAAGGCTTCTGGCAGGTGTTCAAAGTTTTCAGAACGTTATACGTACATCAATATTCAACACTTAAATTCAGAAACAACGGACGATAACCGATACACATATTAAAAAAAAAAACAAAACACATTGCATTGGGAGCTAAAAAGTATCCATGCATGAGAAGTAAATTTTTAGAATCATTAGCTACTATTTATGCACGGAGTCTTGAAAAATTGTCGCATTGATATTTTCATTTTAACACTTCACAAATTTTCATTAGAATATTCTCAAAAATTTCCTTGAAATCATTCAAACATTTACTCAGAGCCCATTTCAGAGTTCGCCTAAAACATTGTTGTGTTTCTTAATAGAATCTACACAATTCACTTCTTTTCCTTAATAACTCTCCCAAATTTAAATTTATTTAAAATTTGTGTAAAATTTCTTTAAAATATGTCTCAGAATATTCACGGTGTACTCTAAAATTATTCCTAGAACTTTCTAGAGAATTGCACTAGAATTCAGTTCAGCATAATCTTAAATACATTCTGAAAATTTCCTTAGTATTCTTCTCAGAATTCCCTTAGTAAATTTTCTTAGAATTCCCTTAGAATTCTTCTCCAAATTCCCATGCAATTTTCCAGAGAATTCAATTAGAACTGTATGCAAAGTTCCATTCCTTGGAACACTTTTCGGAATGGATCATTCGAGCAGTTCAAAATGTCGTTTTCTGCTCATCAAACTTTGCCGTGGAACAATACGTTGATATTTTTCCCTCTAGATTATCGTCTAGTGTCTTATTCACGCTAAGCTTGATAAATCTTTAGTTTCATGCGGCATTTACGAAAAATGACTGGCGAATTAATCTATAGTCGAGCAGTTTTGGGACGACCTCCAAAACTGCTCGACAATATGATTAATTTGCTTGGAACTCTCTTCTACATTTTCTTGGAATAGTCCGCATAACGATTTTCCTTAAATTGATGTTTTAATCAGAATATCCTTTATGTTCTAGTCAGAATTATTTGAAATTTTCCTAAAAATCAAACAAATCAAATTATTTAGGATTTCATGGCTGTACCTATTGCCCACTCCGCACCAAAGCCACCGTGGTCTAACGGCCACTTGCGTCGACTACAACGGTTTAGGGCTAAATCGCTACGAAGATATTGCCAAAATCGTTCGTACATTACGAAGCATAAGCAGGAGTTCAACCAGATTCCTGTATCGACGATATGTCTTCCGTGCGCAATCATCTCGTCGCAGAAATCCAAAGCGTTTCTGGTCCTTTGTAAACTCTTAAAACAACGAAGTCGGCTTTCCATTGTCAGTTTATCTCGGTGAGCAAACGGCTTAATCTGAACCGGAGAAATACTGCCTTTTTGCTCAACATTTCATGAGTTCGTTCAATGAATCTTCGGCCTCACTAAATCAAGTCACGATTGCTATAAGCGATTTTCCTACAGATGCATTTGAGCTCCGTCCGGTTCACATCAGTGAACTCACCATCAATCTAGCTCTTCAAAGGTTGAAACTCTCGTTTGCTGCCGGGCCAGACGGCATTCCTGCGTCCGTTCTGAAGATGTGTTCGGAGTCGTTGCTCACTCCCTTGGTGAAGTTATTTAATCTGTCACTACAGGAGAGTAAATTTCCTGAGGCGTGGACATTTTCGTACATGTTCCCCGTCCACAAGAAAGGCGATAAAAGGAATGTCCAGAATTACTGAGGCATCACATAACTATGTTGCTGCTCCAAAGTATTCGAGATCATCATCAATGAGGCGCTCTTCAGCTCTTGTAAAAATTACATCTCCACGGCTCAGCATGGATTCTACCCAAAACGGTCAGTAACAGCCAATTTGACCGGATTCGTGTCGCTCCGCGTTCGGACCATTGATTCTGGCGGACAAATCGCCGCTGTTTACACTGATATCAAGGCAGCCGATTCGTTGCTGCTGTCTTTGAAATTTTGTTCGTATGTCATGAGACTGCTACTACCAGTGCGAGATGGGAAATGACAGGTGGGCAGGAACTCACGGTCTCCCAGTATTGGTGAGTTTTTTGCCGTTAATGTTCACGAAAAGTTCACTATTTTGCCATACAGAAATTCAAAACAAAAAATTTTATCTGTGGATTTGGACAGTTTTTGACCTGTTTCATACGACCGGAAGGTGTATGCTTGTCACAAATGCCGTGAAAAACTGATTTCCTCCGCAATTAATCAATTGTTGATGTGAATTTCGCTAATAAACACGAGGAGCATTTCTTATAGCAAACTTGCCATAACAAAATAGGCATGGTTCATTTTAGTAAACAAACTAACACTTCTTCCGACTGTGTCACCTCTCTTACTCGCCTAGCTACCAGTGTGACACCGAAGCTCGTGCGGTTGGTATCACGTTCGTGATGCCCATTGCAAAATTTTCATCCGATATTTTTTGACGTTGAGACAACGTCTTTGATTTTTATATGGAGGTACACTTTGTGAAAACCGAAAATGGAACATATAACAAATTAATAAAGATTTTGAACGTTAATAACTCAGCTGCCCCTGGTCCAATTTCAATAATTTTATCACCAATAGATCTGAAATATGGCTACGCATCGATAACAATGCATTCCGAATGTTAATTTTTAACAAGAAACTATTGAAAAACTGGTAAATGTCCAGCATTGTCCAAAAGCGTCGAATTATCTAACAAATCCACCAATTACCTACATGCATATGCTGCTTCCCCAGCACAGTCGTCAGAGAGTAGTAAGAAGACGAAACAAGTCGAAGTAGCATTTGCCTCCGATCCTCGGGCGCGTGCGAATAGGGAGGATGGTATTGCGTAATATTTTGCACACTCATCGCCATATTCAGAACCAAACGCAAATTCTTCGAGATAACTACCATCCGTCGTCTGGCTCGCCGTGGCGGTGTCTGACGTATCTCCGGTCTGATTTACGAGGTGTGCTGAAGGTGTTCCTGAAAAATGAGATCCGTGATGCTGTCACCTACACTAAACACGCCAAGCGTAAGCGTTTTGAAGTGACAGAGACGAACTCTGTTTGGTTTCGGAGGTTAAATCATCGCCAACTTTGGCAACAAAACGGCTCTTTTCAGGGCCACCAAGCTTATTACAGTAAAGAGTAGGAATATAATTCATCTGCCTGTTTGTCCATATTCAGAACCAACGATCACACAAAATGCTCATGTAATCAAACTGGAAGCAGAGGTACAAATTATTTCGATCAACCTTGATCAACTTTGAATCGCCACGGCCGGATATTTTCGATGGAAGAAGCAACAATCTAGCATCTAATTCGACGAAGACGGCAGGAAACATATGTGAAGCCGAGTTATTTACGAAAGAGAGTGTCGATGAAGAGAATCGATCAATGTAGATACAACCTATTGAAAAGTGACGCGAGATTTGTTTTCCGTACTGAGCTCCAATGCTACCGACGCCAGGGAGGCAGCTCCCACACCTGGACCCATCGACCCATCGACCCATCAACTCAACCGGGGACCAATTGCTTTACTTCCCGAAGGAAGGCGTGATCAGAGATGTTATGCCTTAGAACATGCCAGTGGCGCCGACTGAGATTGGACCCAGGCCTGCTGGGGTGAGAGGTAATCACGCTAACCACCGGTGCCAATAGCTTTCAAGGTGATATCACGGCGAATGAGAACGACCCAAATTTGAGTTTAGTTATCTCAGAAATAAGAAATAAAGTGCAGGAACTCAGCGATGAGTAAATTTGCCTCATGTTTTCCCAGGATTTTCCAGGGAAAAATTCCCGAATTTGAGAAAAGTTAAGATTGGATTCATTCAGTCTATTTTCGTCAATTTTCTCATTTTCTGGCAGATGTTTTAGGTTTTCCACAGGAAACCATGAGACAAATTTACTCATCGCTGAGTTCCTGCACTTTTGGCGATTATGGGTGAACTAAACTCAAATTTGGGTCGTTCTCATTCGCCGTGTACGCAAAAGGAAAAGAGCCAGTGTCACTACTTGATAGCAAACTACTCATAATGGGAGGAGTCTTTGCAGCTTTTATACCACTTGGTTGCACATCATTCTGTTTTAACCTGAAAAGATATAAAAGAGCGCTGCTGTATGGCATTAGCTCATCTTTTCTCTCATTCTCTGCTTGATCGTCAAGCAGTTCAGTTCGGTGTTAGCTCGGTCTCTCGAGTTGTTTGAAAAATTTGTGGCGACAGTGTTCGCGCTCTCTCTTTCGCGGTTTGTCGTGCGTGTGTGTGTTCCCCGAAATGGGGAAGCATCGGTCGCGAAGCCCGGCGAAGGTCCAGAACCCCGGTGAAGGAAGCTCCGGTGTGCCTATCTCGAACAGGTTTGCTGTTCTCCCCATGGATGGGAATATCCAGCCAGCTGTGTTGGAAAAACGCAGCAAGAAGAGGAAGAAGAATCGAGGCCAGTCCGATGTCACTGCGACGAACGCCAGCGACATCGGTGATTTCGGCGACGCCATCGGCAACGAAAATCCTGCCGGCCCGAGTGCGGCAAAAGTGGTGAAAAATGCCAATCTTAATGAGCTCATCGCAGATCTAGCGACGCTGGGCGTTAAAGCCGAATACAAGTTGGGTAGAGTCGGCACCAAGGTGGTCCTCCGTACCCAAGCGGAGTATGACTTGGTCGTCGCCCACCTGAGGACTTCCAAGGTGGAATTCTTCACCCACGACATTCCCGGTGAGAAGCCCTTCAAGGTCGTCATTAGGGGCCTACCAAACTTCGACCCGAAGTTTATCGAAGCTGAAATCAGAGACCGGTACAAGTGCCGTCTATCGGATGACAAGGAAGGACGAAAATGTGAAGGCGTATCCGGATAGCCTTTTCCTGGTGCACTTCCAGAAGGGAACGGTGACACTTAACGCGCTGAAAGCCATCCGCTCCATCAATTCCATCATCGTCCGCTGGGAGCCATCCG